TTCGATAGTATACATCTTACGATATACTATATATACATCTTAATATAATAAGATGTATATATAGTATATATATTATAACGCATTGCTTTGAATATCTCTTTACAATTTTTTCGTCTTTAAATTTGAATTAAAAAATTTAGGTGATAATTCTATAATATAATTTACTAGGAATTGCCATAGATATTTTTATTACCATTTTTTTCCTCTAACTTGTATAAAAATAATTTAAAAAATAGAAAGTTTCCATTGGGCCCATTTAGGATCGTTTGGGCCCGCTTAGGATCGTTTGGGCCCGCTTAGGCCCGGGACCGACCCACTTAACACGGGACCGCTAGTTCGTGGTCTCGGTCCCGGACCGGTTCCAACGAGAAGCCCGCGAAGCCCGGGACTACTTAGGACCGGCCCGCCTAGGACCGGGCCTGCGAAATCCACTTAGGACCGGGCACGACCCACATGCTGCCCCTAGTTGAAATTGTGTATTGCCCTTTTTGGGAAAGGTATTTCAAGATTAAATGATGTGCTACTCGTTTATGCTTCTAACTTGTGCTTTGATTGCCAACCATTTTACTCCATTTCTTGGAAAGGAATTCATTGTGTTTAAAGTCTTCATTGTTAATAAACTTAAAGTTATGATTTCCGGAATATTCTATATATTGATGTTTGATGGTGATCCTTGAAAGTAAAGAAAAGAAAGTGTGGAATATGAAATACGGTCGTCGTGCCATGAATAAGGAATCTTGTGAATGGCCAAAAGAACCAAAAAATTATTGTGGTTTTGAGTGGTTGAAAATACTAATGAAGGTTTATACAATGTGAAAGATGATGAGGTGAATATATTTGTAATTATATTACCTTTGTGTGCAAAAACAAAAAATATTTTTGGGAGTATCATTAGCAAACCGAGGAAGGGTGGGTCATAAGGCCACACCCGAAATTACACGTACCGGTGTAAGGGTGGATTGTGATTATTCCCCTTATTTGGGATGAGATTGATATTAGCTGGAATTGGAAAGTCAACCCACACGACTTATGTAGGAAGGTGGCCTAGCCGATCGGGTGGAGATCGGACGCCATATTGCGCACATGGTGGTACTACTCTTGGTAACACATTTCTTTCACACCACATGTCAAACCACATTGTTCATGGGGAGATAGCCTAGCCGATCGGGCGTGATCGGACTCCGTGCTAAAAACATGGTGGTATATCGGTGCAAATGAACTCCCAATAAAAAATATATACTATTTCGTATTTTGAAAATTGGTATGTTTTAAATAGGCATTTGAATATTGTTGATTGTGGCTTGTTGTTCATATAGTTTTTCCTTTCTTATGTTGGCATTCTATTTTGCAAGTGGGCATTTAGCTTTACATACTAGTACTATTCTAAATGTACTAACGTCCTTTTTTATCGGGGGCTCTGCATCTTCAATGGATACAGGTGGTTCGTCAGCAGGTGGTTTTGACTCTTGTTAGCAACTACTCTCTATTCAACAGATTTTGGTGAGCCATACTCTGTTTCGGGCTTCATGTCATTTGACATTGTATGTTACATTTTGAGGTATAGCCGAGGCCTTGTCGCCGGCACATCCATACTACTCTTCTGTTGTACTTAGAGGCTCCGTAGACAGATTGTGAGTGGTATATGATTTTGGGAATTAAACTAGTAAGTGTTGGTATTTGGGCGAACATGTTTTCATCATATCAGTAAACTTGTTATATTTTGGAAATCATAAATGAATATCCTTTAGTAATGGAAAATATTGTGGAACACTTGACCATTCTCGTGTCTATCACCTGTACTGATTCTTATATTGTTAATGGGCAAGATTGGGTAGAAGGCATCTAACAAGCTTGCTTAACCGGGGTATCTCGGTTGAGCGCCGGTCGCGCTCCCCGAGATCGGGGCGTGACAGAGAGTGTCATGACCCGCCACATCATCATACCACCTAGGTGCTATTTGGCACATATTAATGCCCTGTGGAAGCTTACATATGAAATAGACTAGCACATGTAGGAAGGTTCCAGAGAAATATGGAGATTTCTCATGGAGGACCTTAGAACCCTATGGAATTGTTAGAAAAGTCCTTAGAAGATTCTAGCTATGTAGAATATTCTAGAGAAAGACTTACTTGTAACTAACAAGGGCCTTGTGTAATAATTATTACTTACTCACTAGCCCCTGTGAAACTATTATATAAAGGAGGTTATTCATTTGTAACTTATCAAACAAAAATAATCAAGTTCTCTGCAATAAAAAGCTTCCTTTGGCCATTCTCCTGTGTTCTAATATTCCCTTAGCTATCTTTAATGTAGTAAGGCTGACTTGGCATAGCAAGAACATGAACAAATTGTGTAAAATTGTGAGCAGGGTATTTAGTTAAAAACTAAGGACGTGACATTATGTTCTATTAAATGGTGATGTTATGTTTGTGTTAGGACACAGTTGTTAGCAGATTTTCTGTAAACATCTCTAGATTCTCAACTGTGGTCATGACTGCCTTTGGACAACCAAGAGATCCAACATAGCATACAAACCGAACATCACTCACGTGTTCTTTGTACATAAGTCTCGTCATTGGTGCTTTTAGTTTTAGTGTGACCTTGCTTAGGTAGCAAGGGAATCAAAATGAGCAAGTTTTTATCCGATACTCAAGTCCGACTCTGATTATGTAACTTTTTCGTTAACGAAACCAACTAATAAATCGCTCAACCAACTAAAAGGTTATGCAAACCACTCATAGAATCAAGAAAGATCAATCTATCAATTTAATACATTACAAAAGTAAAATATTTTTCTACTATTTTACAATTTTTAAGAACTTAAACTTATTGAACTATTTAAAGTATTTTAAGTTCAAATTCTACACTTTGATGCAGTGTTTTCACGAACTCTCGCTCCTTTATCATTTTGCATTACTGCTCATTTAATAAATTTTAAAAAATAAATATAAAAATATTGTAAGTAATTTGGGTTCTACTCGCTATTTTAATTTCACTTTTATTCTTTTACATTTGGTTACAGGCATAAGCTTTTAAAATTTTTGGTGTTTAAAAAAAAGGGACTAAGTGCGAAAATAGTTCCAAAGCAACTCCACTAGCACATTTACATGTCTGTGGTAGTTCATTCGAGTTTCGCCGCTTTCGGTTTCTGAAGAAGAAGCAAAAAACTCTGAAAGAACCTAAAAATGCCACCCAAATCTGCAGTACAACACAAACCATACTTTTTCTACGGCCACCGGAAACCGACACAGCATCGTCCTACAGTACAAGGCGGCCTTTTCTCTAATCGCCAAACCATAAACCCAAATCGCCCCACCCCCAAAAACTCACCTTCTTCTTCTGCTGATTTTGAGCTCCAAAAATGGGACCCAGATGACGATTCAGGCCTAAAATCCAAGAAAGACCCATCTCATGATTTTTTCTCTTTGGCTCAGCGCTTATCACCAATTGGTAGGTATATAGTTGATTCTTTCAGGAAACATAAGAGTTGGGGGCCACCCCTTGTGGCTGACCTTAATCGTCTGCGACGTGTCACTCCTAAGCTTGTAGCTGAAGTTCTCAAGCACCCTAATATTGATCCTAAAATTTCCTCCAAGTTCTTCCATTGGGCTGGTATTAAAAATTCACCCTTTTTTACCTTTTTGAATTTTGTTACTTTTAATCAATGAGGCTTCTTATTGTTTGTGTTTTCTTTTTCTTGTCTGCAAATATAATGTGCTATGTTGTCACTTTGAAATGGGAAAAGTTTCAACTTTTAATGCTGAGCACTTTTTTGTGTATTTAAATTTTATTTTGAAAATATATTGAATCTGTATAAAGAAGGGGAGCTTGGATCCTGCTATGCGCGGGATTCGGGGAAGGCCACACCATGTTGAGTATGGTGTATGTAGCCTTACCTTGCATTTCTACGAGATGTTGTTTCTGCCTGCTTGAACCCGCTACCTCCCGGTCACATGGGGCAACGTTTACTATTGCGCCAAGGCTTCCTCTCATATTTAATCTGTATGCTACTCTTCTTTAAGTGCTTACTCTTTTTTTGTGAAGAACGTGACATTTGAGCAGCAATTTTATTTTAATGACATTAAAGTTGCATACTTGTAATATTTTTCTGCAAGTTGTTGAATATATATGAATTGTTTTTCATTTTTAGTCTAAAAATGTGTCAATCTGACTCCAAAAAAATGAAAAGGGAAAATTCTTGTGGGACATAGAGAGTATGTAGAGCCGAGAGTCTACCGGAAACAGCTTCTCTATCTAGACAAGGTAGGAGTAAGGCTTCGTCCACAATACTCTCCCCAGATCACACTTGTGGGATTACACTGGGTTTGTCGTTGTTGTTGTTGTTGTTGTTGTTGTTGTAGATACAACCTGTGATTTGAGGCAGTCAACGACCGCGATTGTCATGGTTTTGATCTTTTGGCAGATTGCTATGTCTTAAATCGTTCTACATACAAAAAAGAAGAAACCCAAAATTATGCATTTTGTTATTCTGATTCTCAATGGTTGAAGAAAAAATGAGCAGAAGTAATAGACAAACGAATGATAATCAGCATTATTCTTGTATGTGTATCTGCTTATTCTTATAATGTATCTTAACAGGAAAGCAAAAAGGTTACAGGCATGATTTCTCTTGTTACAATGCCTTTGCTTATGGTCTGAATCGGGTGAATCAATTTCGGGCGGCTGATCAGGTTCCCGAGCTGATGCATATGCAAGGAAAGCCGCCTAGTGAGAAACAATTTGAAATCTTGATCAGAATGCATGGTGATGCTAACAGGGGTCTTAGAGTGTACTATGTGTATGAGAAAATGAAAAAATTTGGGGTAAAACCAAGAGTTTTTCTGTATAACAGAATAATGGATGCTTTGGTTAAAACCAATCATTTGAACTTGGCTATGTCAGTTTATGATGATTTCAAGAAGGATGGGTTGGTGGAGGAGAGTATGACTTTCATGATCTTGATAAAGGGACTATGCAGGTTAAAGCGGATGGATGAAGTATTTGAGCTTTTGGGTCGGATGAGAGGGAATCTTTGCAAACCTGATGTGTTTGCTTATACAGCAATGATAAAGATATTGGTTGCAGAGCGGAACTTGGATGGTTGTTCAAAGGTTTGGGAAGAGATGCAGCGGGATGCAGTTGAACCTGATGTTATTGCTTATTCAACTTTTATTACAGGTTTGTGTAAAATTAATCAGGTTGACATAGGCTATGAGTTGTTTAAGGAAATGAAACAAAAGAATTATTTAATAGATAGGGCGATTTATGGATCTTTGATTGAATCGTTTGTAGCAAATGGAAAAGTTGGTTTCGCTTGTGATTTGCTTAAAGATCTGATGGAATCGGGCTATAGAGCTGATTTGGCAATCTATAATTCTCTTATCGAAGGTTTCTGCAATGCAAAACGGATCGATAGGGCCTATAAACTTTTCCAAATCACAGTTCAAGAAGATCTTCAACCTGATTTTTCCACTGTAAGGCCCATATTGGTGTCTTATGCAGAGTCAAAGAGAATGGATGAGATTTGCAAATTGCTTGAGGAACTGCAGCGATTGAGCTATTGCATTCGTGATGATTTATCCAAATTCTTTACATTTATGGTAGAGAAGGATGATAGGATTATGATTGCTTTAGAAGTCTTTGAATATTTGAAAGAAAAAGATTATTGTGGTGTTCCAATATATAACATTCTTATGGAAGCTCTCTATAGGAATGGCGAGGTGACCAAGGCACTCACATTGTTCTCTGAATTGCGCGATTCAGATCATAAACCCGATTCATCGACTTACAGCAATGCTATCCAGTGTTTTGTAGAGGTCGGAGATGTACAGGAGGCATGTAATTGCTATAACAGAATTAAAGAGATGTCTTTGATTCCGTCGGTTGCTGCGTATCGTTCTCTTGTCAAAGGGCTTTGCAAAATTGGACAGATTGATCCAGCAATGATGCTAATTCGTGACTGCCTAGGCAATGTGGAGAGTGGCCCTATTGAGTTTAAGTATATTCTCACTATTATTCATGTCTGTAAAATGAATGATGCTGAGAAGGTAATGAAAGTTTTAGATGAAATGCTAGAAGAGGGCTATTCTCCTGATAATGCTGTATATTGTGCTGTAATTTCTGGCATGTGCAAACATGGAACAATTGAAGAAGCACGGAAATTTTTTGCAAATATGAGAAAGCGAAAACATCTTACTGAAGCCGACTTAGTTGTTTATGATGAGATGCTTATTGACCACATGAAGAAGACGACTGCAGACTTGGTGTTGTCTGGATTGAAATTTTTTGGTCTGGAGTCAAAGTTAAAAGCAAAGGGGTCTACCCTTTTAGCAGGTTGAAAAATGAAAATAGGTAATAAATCATAAACTTGTCATTCGTTTGCATCTTTTAACTTGTATGTGATATGAACTGCCAGGAATTGTCGCCCTTTTTTGATGTGGCATCTAAAGTTTTCCAGAACTTGAGTTTGCAAACTTGATTTTAAATTTTTTTTTTGGGGTTGGGNTCAGTAATTTGGAAACTAGTTTTTGGAGTTTTTAGGTTTCTGAAAAAACAAGTTTGGTAATCTTAAAAACACGTTTTGCAAAAACAGGAGCAAACAAACACTTTCCAAAATCTCTTTGAGTTCACAACCCTAGTTTTTGGAAAATTTCAAACAAAAACCACTTTAGATTTTTCACTGTTTCCCACATGTTACTACTTCAACTTTACAGGTAACTTGTTAAACAGATTCTGTCTGTAGTTGTTGGAGGGGCCAATCTATCCACAGGAGGATTATAAGTGCATATTCTCTTTGAGCGTTGAAAGACTACTCCGATGCTTTTTGAAGGTAACTTTGTTCAATTGGAGATTGAGCAATTCATTGGTAACTGAATCAAACTTTTCGGCCCAAAAAAAAAAAGAAACTAACCCTTTGTCTAGAGACTAAAGGAAAGAAGGAAAATGTACCTAAATTTGCCTTCTTTTTTTGGTTCAAGGAAGGGAAATGGCAAAAGATAGATAGATTTTCATTTTAAAGTCCTCTAGTTTCTCTCCGATCTCCCTATTGTTTTCCACTCTTGTGCTCTCTTTTTTTACATCGGTGTTGTCAGGTCAGCTTGACTAATCCACCAGGCAGCTTGTCCAGCTAACAAACACAAGTTGCCAAGGTAATCTTGATCATCAAGGCTGGAGCTGATGGAGTAACACAAAATGTTGTAGTTGAGATTCGAACCTGGGATCTCCAGGTTATTACTCTCATGCCTCAAGCACTAGGCCATCCCCTTAGGGACTCCATACTTGTGCTATTCTCTTTGCTTTCCGTCTTTCCCTAGCTTCCTGACATAGGAAAATGGAAATGTTGATTTGGCAGTGAGCTGGATTATGACCCTGCTATGAAGGCCCGTTTAGCAGCGGCATTGATGACTTCTGCCAATGTAGCACCGTCTAATAACCAGTTTGCTAATAACTTTTTGGTTATAAATTATAAAGGAGTGAAATTGTTTGATTAGCAGCCGAGCACAGCTGTCAGTTTATTTCATTTGTAAAATGTGAAGGCTTGAGGTGTTCACTCTCTACTGAAAGGTTGGCCTGACAATCACTAGGATTACGGGGAAATACCAGATGAGTAAAAGAACTTGCATAAGTTTATCATGTCTTTGTCTGCTTACAGGCCATAGCCTATCGCAATAAGGTTTACATCCAAATGCACAGCTAAGGGATAGATCTCATGGTTGTCTTGGCGAGAGCTAAATTCTTCTATCCAAGTATTTGCTTCTTATAAAGACAAGATATCCATTTGACTTTGCTGCAGGATTTTGCAGAAAAGATGATCATTCTCAAACAATTTTGGTGGATTAACTGCCAAGGGTTTGTCAGCTCCTCTTGGAGCATTTCTCCACTGAGACATGTTCAGTGAAAAATGTTCTAGTTGGGAGTCACCTATCGATTTATGAACAGATCTTTTTAGTTGCAACTTGAAGTTGGAAAGTGAGCTTATGCAGAAACTGACTGCATGTTGAAGTATATGTTCGGCCGGATGAAAGCATTTACATGGAAGTATTTGTCTTCTCTCTCTCTAAGTTGCTGCAGGTATAGGAGAGACAGGGGGAGAGAGAGTGAAAGTGAAAGAGACCATCTTGTTGTTTGGTGATGTGGAATGGTTTAACAGTGTCTAAGCGCAAGCTGAATGATTTGGTCAGAGAAGATTGGCAAGTATTTGTTTACTTTTTGTTATTTTCATGCTTTGAAGATTTAAATGTTCACTTGTGCCCTTGATTTTCTCGAGAACAATAATTTACCTTTGGTTTTGACAGATTAGAGGAAATGGATCATGCTTCAAGAACAGCATCATGGACGAGTTACGAAAGGGAATGTATATGTGCAATTGCAGAAAGATCTGTCAGTTTAATCCGATTTTTGTAACTATATGTAATAAATATTTTTTTCTAAACTTCGTAAAGATGAGACAAATATATTACCTTATAAAAAAAAACAAAAAACAAATACATCTTGGCAGAACGTCTTATGCAAATGCTGATTTTGCTAACTTTTGATTGATACTGTATAACTTGCAAAGTAACACACAGACTGCTAAGGATGGTTTTTCAATGATACATTTGAAAATTTTGTTCTGAAAACTTGTTAACTGATGGGGCGTTGTTTCTGCTCACTCCTTTTCTATAGTAGGTTTTCTCAGATCTCATGCACTCCTTTTCGATATGTAATTGAAGTTAAGCAGCTCATGAGCAAGAAAAGGAAATCAAAAGAAAGACAAAGTAAAGCAACAGTACTAAAGGAGCCGTCCATAAAAGGCCAAAACGCAATCAAGGGTAAAGCAGATGCAGTAGAAATTTACATTTTAGTTGGTGCTATATGAATCATTTCACCTTTTGCTTTTCAGTAACCAAAAGGTATTCTTTTATAATTTGGTAAAGAAATAGCAGGAGGAAACATAGCGCTTCATGAACATATATACTGTAATATTTTGAATTAGATAGCTTTAGTACAAAGAGTTCGGCTGAATAAAGACATTTTTGTAGTCAATGATGATATAGTGGTGCAGTGCTAAATTGGACCAAGAAGCTACTCTGTAGATCATAATTTTTTCACCTTAACAAATTACTTAGATGAAGGTTCAACTTCCCGTTTGGGTCGGTTACGTGTACGAGGAGTTGCAGGTTTTTCCTCTAACGGAGTAACCACAATGCCATCATCTTCCTCGCCTTCCATTATTGCTTTATTTACTGCAAGCTGTCCATTCAACAAGAGAAGTCAAATACAGTCCTCATACAGTCAAAAGCAAATTTTATAATGTGCACACAACAATTTGCTGAGAAAGAATCTGAAAATACAAACTACCTCAAAATAGTCCCATTTCTTTCTCTTAACTGTTGAGCTAATAAAGGTTAAAAGGCCAAAAAAAGAATCCAGAAGTGTGATACCCCAGCAAAACAGGAAAAAAAAGGGTGGCAATGGAATCAATTTGAAATATAGTGCTTGAAAAAATACAACTATGATCATTATGATCACTGCAATTACTCTAAATGCATAGTAGTAATGACCAATGTAGGGCACAAATAACTGAAAAACAACTCTCATCAAACGATATGATCACAATTCACAAGGGAACATTTTATTACTATATTTTTCTCTTGTAGCTTATAATGGGCATGCATGTGTGCGCGCGCGCGCTTGCCTGTGTGTATGTATGTGTACATGTTAAAGGTTTTGATCCAGTTAAAGGACATGAACACCATTTGAGTTTCTTCCAATGATTGAGAGATTCTTTTCTTTTTTTCTTCTTTTTCTTCCACTTCCAACTAATACTTGTGAGAATGCACGGGAGAAAAATCTATTTATTAACAATGATACAATGAACTATATATATATATATATATATATATATATATATATATATTCTACTCCTACTACATAAGGGACTAGGACATATTCTACTCCTAATACATATGAGACTAGGACTATTTACACATAACTATCTAACACTCCCCCTCAAGCCGGTGCATACAAATCATATGTACCGAACTTGTTACATATGTAATTAATACAATGACTAGTCAGAGACTTGGTGAAAATATCTGCAAGCTGATCATTCGACATACAAGGCCACTAGACTCCTCCTGAGCAACAAAACCAGGAGTTGGCCGAAAAGTCGCCGGAAAAATTTGAAAATAGTGAGACTAAGCCGAATTCCACACTACAAAATTGGTTCTAAAACACAATCAGAAAACAGAAACTTTCCTGGAAAATCATTGTCCACGCCAGAAAAAAGTGCACTGTTCACGCCGGAAAAATAAAGTTGTCAGAATTTGATATAATTTGTATGGGTAGGCTCGGAATCACTGGACGAGTAAGTTGTCCTGAAGAAGTTTTGTCAAAAAGTGACCGGAATGGCTCACACGCGCCGGAAAAGTTATTGTAGCTCGTCGGAACCCTAGTTTTGGCAGCGCGTGGAGGCGCGTGACTTCTGCCGGAGCGATTGACCGGGATTTTGTCGCCTGACTTTTCCGAACAAGATGGTAATGTTAGTTTTTCGCACAATACTTACCGATGAGGAGATAACACAAATCAATCTTAAGTGGTCAACCGGAAAGACACACGGTGACTGACTTTTCTGTTCAGATGGGATTGGAATTTCTGGGGTTTGGTCGCACAAGAGTTTCAAATCTGATGGTGGTACTGGTATATGCACAGTACCACTGTAGCAGTGATGAACCCTGGGAACAAGACGAAGTTGCCGGAAAATTGCACGACGATGAGATATTTCTTCCCGGATGTCGTTGGAATGACGCACAATGATAATTTTCTCACTGAAGCTCTGATACCATGTGAGAATGCACGGGAGAAAAATTTATTTATTAACAATGATACAATGAGTCATATATATAATACATATTCTACTCCTACTACATAGGGGACTAGGACATATTCTACTCCTACTACATATGGGACTAGGATTATTTACACATAACTATCTAATAATACTCAATCGGATCTGTAAAGTCATTAAAATCTGATGCCCCATTTAAATCACATCCTATACATATGCCAAAGACATGCATCTTGTAATTATGAGAAACCACCAATTTCTAAGTGTCCAACATGTATCATTGGAAAACATAGATCTTTGGCAGAGTTTGTACTTTATAAAGACATTAAGTGTGTGTTAGGTCTAAACAATGTATATGTGAACTCTTATCAACCAGAAAATCAGGGTATGCACTGGGACCTTCAATGCATTGGCTGATGTATTGTCTAGGGAGAGTACAAGCATAAATACATTATTCTTCCAACGCGAAATAAGATAGTACACTCATGAACATTCTTCATCTAGTTTTGCACATACTGACTACTCCATAAAGGGCTCAATAAATCAAATTGCAAAATAGGTGCAAATTGTGTGAAGCTTTGCCATCTATAAATCTAGTCTTCTCATATTGCAGCGAATATATGTCCAATTGTTCTTGGTTTCCTCCTAGCAAAGACTGTCCAAAAATTTAAAGACATGCATCAAGTAATGCTCACTTCGCTCTATAAACATTTTCATAGCATCATCTCTCAATTCAGTGGCATTTACAGTTACACTGCTAATCATCCAGGAGCCAAATAGACCTGTCTGCTTTCCTTGTCAAGGGAATGACTGATGCCTTGGTACTTCACAGAATTATGCTAACAGGTTTGCACTCTTTTGTAGCACCATGTCCAATTGAGGGGGGAAATACTATACGTCATTCCCTTATCAATCAAGTAGCATGATCCACACTAGAACAAAAAGAGTTTGACAAAGAAAAGACTACAGACACAGAAGATAGTGTATATCAGCACACTGTCAACCAAGAATTGCTGATTCAAGTCTTAAGATGGCAATTGTTTTAGAATTTGCAAAAACTAAGTCTGCAAACTCTGAAACAAAACCCAACTAAGTCTGTCGAGTAGCATTTGCATTGTCATGCAAAAGCATCCCCCCCCCCCCCCCCCCCAAGCTTTAAGGAAGTTGGCATTGGCTCGAGCATTAGCATCTTCCCTGGCTATACATTCATAACCTTATCTAATAAGCTCCCTCGTCTGAGCCCTCACTTCTACTCGATATTGTCAGATCCTCCAAAAAGGTTGCCACACCCGCGTCAGATCCTCCAAAATCTAAATTTCAAGGATCTGACACGGGCATAGCAGCATCTTCTGAAGGGTCTGAGCAATTCTATCCACTTCCCTCCCGTCTCCCCTTCTCCAACACCACCCCCCCCCNAACAACACACACACACACACACACACCACAGACCTTACATGTCTCACCAGCAAAAGAAAATAAAGAAGTATAGATTTCCTCCAACACATTATAGTACAATAGTTATTGTCTAATGTTAATATAGATGTCTTAAATATGGCAAGTAATGCAAAATCTGACAAAACATATCAGTAAAAAAAGAAAAAGAGAATTTCAGGTAGACTTCAAATTTCATCAAGCCCCTCCCTCCACTCAAGAAATAATCCAAGACCAATAAATGCTGATGTGAGTAACAAAATCAGAACACTAAAACAATTAATTAGATAACATAAGAAGTGTAAATATAACTGGATGCCGATACAATTACTCTTGCTAATTTTCCTTTACGTCACTTCCAAAGAATTTTAAGTAACCTAAAAAAATGGACCATGAACCTATATTGAGATAGACAAACACATTTTAATATAAGGAAATCAATAACCTTTTAATACGCTTATAAACATCTAAATTTATCTATATAAAAAGTGAACTGAATAATGTCTGAATTAAGTTAAAATTGGTCGAATTGAGTCTCAAAACAGAGTAGGGACAAAAATTAAGGGACGGAGGGAGAAAAAAAAAGTATATGGAAGTATTACCTCTTCGAGGAATTTCTTGTCGAGATTATCAGCAATACGGGCAGAAGTGAAGATGGTGATAGCAAGGAGAGAAAGTGGGAATATCAAAGCAAATATATAGCTGCTGCTACTTATTCCTCCTCCTGCACGCCTCACCACTGATAAGCCTCTGCTACTCTTCTTCAATTTCCGGCTATGCAATTGAAGAAACGGCGGCGTATTTCGGGAAGAAGAACCCAAAAAGAGCTGCTGATGTTGGGGCTCATTGAATCGGAGGAAAGTAGAAGAAGAGAGCGAGTTGGAGAGTATCATACTCGCCATCAAAGACTGGTTGGTTTTCAGTTCGTTATCGTTTATTTTGAAGAATTACTTCACTTTTTTCTTTTGCCCCTCTACTTGGGCAAAAAGATGAATAAAGATGGGTCAAATAACAAATTAAAATCCAACCCATCCAACATAAATCTACTTTTCTATTCTATTTCTTTTGGAAAAAATGTGAAAGGTGTATATTTTTAAATTATTAAACTTAAATACTTTTAAATTTACATAATTTTGAATCTTTAAATTTTATATTTAGATTGGATTACATCTTGGCTCGGATATTTCAATATTTTGACATAATAGATCATTTTAAATTCACTCTGTTGGTCAAATATACAAACAAGTAAAATCCAATCCATTTAGACT